AGACCCAACCCTTGACACAATATGCCAGCTCAAAAGGGCACTCACTGGTTGGTTGCTGACTGGCTGGCTGGCTGACTAGCTGGCTGCTTGCTTGGCTCATTTCACAGTTCACAGGCAGTTCTCAATTGAATTGAATCAAATGGAAAGAAGTGCCATAGAATTGCCCTGAATGAGCCTTCGTTTAGATTTCGCACACTATTCTCAAGAGCTGCTTACACAATTGTGTTGTGGCTGCGAATTCATACCCGTATGGGTCTCAGGCCCAAAACATGTTAGCACTTTTGTGGCTTATATTTACTATTCGGAAGTTATTGTATAAAATGCGCAGTTAATGTTCTTTTTACATATGGATGGGGTGTTGGGTGCAAAAAAAATTGCTTTTATAATTAAAGTTCAAGGATATTTTGTGTACACGTTAAAGCAAAGACTTTACAGATTTTAAAATTGTAAATATTGTGTAGATAAGAAACATAAAAAAATATTTATCGTAACCACAAAATAGTAATGTAATGATTTTTTATAGAAGATTTTACTTGATTGTAAGCATGTTGATGTTTAAACTACCATTATATCGGTTACATCTTCTAGATAGGCTAGATGGTTGAGTCCTGGTTGAACCTCCTGCATCGTAGCTCTTGGCATTAATAGTTAATAACTATACGTTTCTTATTTCCATATACTAACAATTGGCGACAGCAAGGAAAGGCTGTCGCCAGAAAACCCAAAATAAGTTGCCTTATATTTTAGAATTAACTAGCATTAAACTTAACTAAACTTTTCTTCAGGATTGAAGTTTTTAAGAGTTTTTCGTGGCACTTAGCCAGCAAAAATGTCTCACATCAAATTTTGAAGGCAAAAGTATGGTTTTTAGGTATTCTATTTATTGCTTACAAATGTCCCTTTTCTACAACCAAGCCCCATATCTGGTCTATTTTTTAGTCTTTATCATAAAGGCATTAGCTGAACACTTCCTGTAGATCAAATTCTGTTAGCAACTCATAATTCGTGCAAGAAAATATTCTCATCTTATAATTTCTTCATTTAATATATGCAACTATTTGCACAATTGAGTCACCTAAGTAAAAGGTGTCAACTAAGATGCGAACAAACTACAAACATTAAAAATGTAGTAAAATGTAATGTTGCTTGCTTTGACTAAAAACATGATGGGAAGTCAAAGGTACAAGTTTAAGGTTTTTAAGAAGCAAACTTCAGAGTTATGAGTTGCAAAGCTCTCATTAATTTTCGCGTTGAATTAATTAAAAGTTCACTTATGCACGAAATTTGCATAAAAATGGCATTTTAATTGCGCTTTGTTTGTAAAGAGGAGAACACCGATGTCACCGTCAGTGTCGCCGGATCGTCTTCGGGCTAGCATTTCGAAAAATGGCTGACGGTGACTTTGCCTGCAGGCAATGGCGTCAGCCAGAGAGATGGCTCCGGCGACAACGCGGCGCATGACGAGCAGAGTGCACTCCAGTCAGACAAGAACACTTCGTGTGGCACTACAAAAGCACTTGGCAGTCATAATGAAAGAGCATTTCTATGCTCTGCTTTTGCTTTCGCTTCCAGCAATGCATGCTCATCCAACAACCTTGACAACGGCAATGGCGAGCGATAATAAGAGCATTGTGTTGTCGAGGTTGCCTTTCAATTGGTGGGCCAACAGCGCCAACGCAAAGGATAATATTTCCTTTGTAAGAATAATATTCGCAGCATTGACTAACAAGCTTAAAAGGCTTAAACTTTTCCAAAGGGCTGCAGTTAACATACATATGGTATTTTGTTCTTATTATTAATTGAACATAAGCTCTAAATACCTCAAAGCATTTGACTTTCGAAATCAATTAATATTTTCATTTTAATCCTAAAGGATTGCAGTTAACATATGGTATTTCTTCTTATTATTAATTGGACATACGCTCTAAGTACCTCAAAGCATTTGATTTTCAAAATCAATTATCTTTTTATTTTAATTAAATTATTTATCTTTGCGACAATAAAATAAAAATTTAATATGAATATTCTACAATTGTTCGTTTTATGCTTGAAAGATAGAACTGTGTGAGACAGCGAAAATTGTAAATTCACAAGAATATAGCATTGTGGAATTATATAATATTTATCCTATTCGGGTAAGAATGTAATTCAAGTAGGAATCAGATAGAAATATTGACTGCTTCCTGCAATTTATATAAACATTTCACCATAAAGTCTCACTTATATAAGTACATAAATGTTCTTGGCATTTCGATTCGTGTAGAACTAAATGGTTTTATTCATGTCGATGACTTTTTTTGTTGCTCCGTTCATTGAAATAAATGACAAAAGCAGCGCTGACAATGCAAAATTGCCATATCATAAACAAAATTCGCACAAAAGCCAACAAAAATGGCGCACAAATGGGGCAAAAATTAAAAATGTAAATGAAGCGTGTCCGGTGCTCAATAAATGAATGACCGAGTGCTCGAATGCTTGAATGCTCGAATGAATGAATGCTGAAATGTTTGTTTGAATGAATTGTTGCATGTTGCGCATGCATGAAGGCGAGCGCCAAGCCGCAGCTTAATTAAAATAAAAATGTTCTGTTCAAAATACATAAAATGGACTAATAAATACGCCACATAAACACACACACACAGATACACAGTCGCAGACACTAACACACAGACACAGACAGACACAGATGGAGAGGCAGAAAAGAAGCGCACATAAAGCTGCCAGAGTCAAACAGTCGAAAAATTCCCACGAAAACCGCGGCACGTTTGCAAAAAAAAAGTGTTAATTTAAATTGCGATACGTGCTGCGAATATAAGGCTGGCGCACTAGCGTCATCTACCGGTCGTTGTCGGTTTGGCCCGTCCCCCACCATCCCGCACCTCGTACGCACCGCTGCGCTCAATTTTATGCACGTCCAGCGTGTAAAACACCTAAATGCCGTTGTGCACAGCATTGGACCACCCCCCTTTTCCTCCCTCTCCCCCTCCCCACCCATGACTATTTTGAAGAGCTGCTTGGGAACACAGGCATTTGTGTTCTTTTTCCATACACCCCCCGCACCGGTCCACTCCCCCTCAGGACCAGCTGTGGCGCAAGTTGCCATCGATTAGTTTTCATTTTGTTGGCCCGGCCGTTTTGCATTCGACTGCGCTGATTATGCAGACAAGCCCGAGCGGATTTCAGATTCGTCCGGCCCTCTCAGCAGGTCATCTGCTAACTATTGGCGGCAGCCTCAGGGCCTCTGCCACTCTGGTATGGCAGTGGCTTTGCATATTTTCGAATGGCATTGACGGGGTGGCGGTTTCTTTGACTTTCGCAATCCCCTCGCTGAAATGAATTGTTGCGGAATTTATTTCCCTAGGCCTACAATTCGAGGAGATCACTGTTCACTGTATGCATAGGGATTTGGGTTTTACAATTTACAGTTACAAACTGAAATTTTTTTCGACATACATAGTATATCCGAAATTATTCTGTTAGATAGAAGCTGGAGAAATATTTTATGTTCATTTAAGATGCAATGAGTAACTCCTGTCTGCGTTTGTTTGCAGACTTTTATAGTTACCGAGACAATTGTGAATAGATCACAATTCACAATTTCATCAAAAATCAACAAAAACAAATTGTTGACGAGGTAGGAAACTTAGTGGAAAGGCTGTAAGTAACAAACATTTTGTTACTCAAAAAAAATTAAATTTTATTTATACTACTAACAGTCAGATGAAAAAGTATATATTTAGGAATGAAGTTATAGACAACAAATAAAATAAATAAACTTCTTTTAAATAATGCACTTATTGTCAGCTGTATGTACGAATGGTCCAAAATTACGCCACAAGTGACCCAAAAGTTGGTCGAATCCATGCCAAAAAGGCTCAAAGGTGGTCATACCAAGTATTAAATTTAGTTAATTGATCAAAAACGTAGTTGTAATAATGTAATACATTAAGTGGTTGAAATAAGCTGCGGCATTGTTTTTCGTTGAATTTTCAGTTGTTAATTATTATAAAATGTTAGAAAAATATTAAAAAATATATGAAGATAAATTTTGTAAGTTAAGTCATCAGACTAACAAATTGCGTTTTAATTATTTTGATATCTCCTTTAGTTGAGATTTTATAAAGCCTACAATTTTTTTAGCGTGCTGGTTGAAATAAGCTGTGAGCCACTGTATATATCTAAATATCGACTTAAGATGTATGTATGTACACTGCCGCTCAACTGAATAGGTTCAACGATTCTCAAGAGTTAACACAGTTATATCTTCGATCGTCGATTTTGATCAAATAAAATTGTATAGAAAAAATAATTTATTGTTAATGGAACATCAAAGTTTGGGGCTTCAAGTACTTTAGTTACATTTTTTTTTTTTAATTTTTTAAAAAACGTAGTTTAAAATGCCTCGTTATACTGGCTCAACTGAATAGTTTCAGTAATATTAAAACTAAAAAAAAAAACAAATAAAAAAGGGGTTATATATGTAAATACAGAATAGTCATAAGCGAACGTAATATTTTAATCTAGTTAAAAGATAACCTATATGGCATCCCTAAAATAATTAGAGGCATCTGGCAACTCACATGTTTGGAAGATTAGCGGCAAGAAAGAGTAAGGTTATGCAGTCATGAGTTTAGAAGATTTCGAAGCCAGACGTGTAATGAGTAAAGTTATTTAAAAAGTTTAAAGAAAATATCTTTGATTAAAATAAAGTATATCGCTATTAAATAGACACTGTTTATTATATAAAAACATTGTATTGGGACTCCCCAGACATTCCCTAACCTTGTAAAGAAAGCGGAGAGCCGAAGAAATTCCACATCGTGATGTAGAAGTCTGTAAATTGTTTCGAAAATTATGGTATCTCTTTAACATCGTATCTGAAGTTAATGTCAAATTTACAACTAAAAGGCAACAACAATTTTCCAAAAAGTTTAAATTAACGTCAATGAGAGAGTTGAAGCCACAATTACCATTAGTGCTAAATATTAGATGGAAAGAGCATGTGCGCTGACAGATCTACCAGCGATGAGCAAAGTGATGGAATTTCGAATTGGAAAAAGCTGAAGCTACTCTTATGGAAAAACTGGATACTTCAATGGAATCAAAAGCTTCAGTTTATATTGGCACTGCTCCTGCCTGTATTTTTCCTGCTGCTCATAATTCTGTTACGCGCTCTCGTGAAGACCTCTGCGCAGCCAGAAACGCGCTATCCCGCCCTCAGTATTGACGATCTTAACTTGTTTCACAGCTCAGTTATTCTGGGTAATCGTATAGTGCACGAGAACGGGACTCTGAACTATCCGAAACAGGTGCTTTGCTATACTCCCGATAGCACGGTGAATCGGGCGATTGTTATAAAGACGGTTGTGCAGCTGAGGCTTTTCGGTTGGCGAGCCTACGATACTTCGCAGCACATGGAGTACGATCTGGTTAAGCATAACTATTTTGTTGGAGTAGTCTTTCAGCCGGCTAAGGAGAGTGATATGATAAAAGGATTCCCGTTGATATTTAATTACTCCCTGCGATTTCCCAGCGAACTACGCACTGTACGCAGTCCAATCATTGATAATTGGCACACGAACTCCCTATTTCCGGGCTATGATCACATAGGACCCCGTAATCGCAATGCCAGCGATGGAGGCGTGCCTGTGGGCTATCTAGCCGAAGGCTTCATCCCGGTCCAGCATGCGTTGACCATGTCTTGGCTACAGATGGCCGGTGCTAAGGACTATTTGCCCAAAGTGATGCTGAGACGCTTTCCCTACAACCCCTATATATACGATCCACTGCTAAGTGGCTTGCAGCAGCTTCTACCCTTTATGCTGCTGCTGAGCTTCATATATCCTTGCTCGTTTGTGGCCAAATACGTTACCAGTGAGAAGGAGCTGCAGCTGAAGGAGATCATGAAGCTGCTCGGCCTACACAACTGGCTGCACTGGGTTGCCTGGTTTGTCAAGAGCTATATCTTACTGATGATTGTGGTGATAATGCTGGTATGTCTGCTACTGGGAAAATTTTACGCTTCAGTGGCTGTGCTCACATACACGAACTGGATGCCACTGCTTCTATTCCTGCACTCCTATGTGGTGGCCAGCATTTGTTTTTGTTTTATGCTCGCAGTATTTTTCACAAAGGCTAGCACTGCTGCCGCCGTCACCGGCATCCTGTGGTTCCTCACATATATACCCTACTCCTTCTCCTACTACTACTACGAACGTATGAGCTTGAGTGCCAAGCTCATCCTTTGTGTGCTGTTCTCGAATACGGCTCTCGGTTTTGGCATTCACGTCATCATGTCTTGGGAGGGAACTGGCGAGGGCGCTCAATGGGAGAATGTTATCAAACGTGTATCGCCGGACGATACTCTAGCCCTATTTGACGTCATTCTGATGCTGACAGTGGCGGGCCTGTGGTACATGGCCGTCTGTCTGTATGTGGAGCAAATATTTCCAGGAAAGTATGGCGTACCCCAACCCTGGTACTATCCAGTCAGTAAAAAGTTCTGGTTTAGCCTTCTGGGGCCCTCGTCAGTCATAGGCAACGAAGCTCAACTAACAAATAATAGTCGTAGTTCCCACAGCCAGGCAGCCAATGTAATTTCCGATCATGGCGAGAACTTGCGTGTGGGAATCCAGTTGTGCAATCTAGAGAAAAGGTATCGCAAGCATGTGGCATTACACAATTTAACTCTGAACATATATCGTGACGAGATAACCGTACTTCTCGGTCATAATGGCGCCGGCAAGACTACCACAATCCTTATGCTAACGGGCATTATTCCACCTTCATCTGGCACAGCCATGATCAATGGTTGGGACTTACGAACTCAATTGGAGAGCGTACGTCGCTCGCTTGGCTTCTGTCCCCAGCACAATATACTCTTCGATGACATGAGTGTGAGAAACCATATAGTTTTCTTTAGCTCTCTGAAGGGCATACATGGGGAAGAGCTACAGAGGGAGGTCTACAAGTATGTGCAAATTATGCAGCTGGAAGATAAGATGCACGTAGCTGCGGCCAAGCTTTCTGGCGGAATGAAACGCAAACTGTCCCTCTGTTGCGCCCTCTGTGGCAATACGAAAACGGTGCTGTGTGACGAGCCCAGCTCTGGTCTAGATGCCGCTGCACGTCGCTGTCTTTGGGACTTATTGCGAGCCGAAAAGGCCGGCCGGACCGTGTTGCTGACAACTCACTACATGGACGAGGCAGACGTTTTGGGAGATCGCATCGTCATTCTGAGTAATGGCCAACTACAGTGCTACGGCACACCGTTCTATCTGAAAAAGCGCTTTGGAGATGGCTACCGATTGATATGTATTAAGCAGCGTGAATGCATTGCAAAAAAAATCACTAGTCTCTTGGATAAATATATGCCTGGCATAGCACTAGAAAGTGAGCTTGGCACAGAATTGGCCTATCGACTGCCCAGCTCCCATCTCCATAGGTATGCAGATATATTAAGTGAGCTGGAGGAGCAGGGAGAGTCTCTCCATATAGACGGCTATGGCCTGAGTATGGCTTCCATGGAGGAAGTATTTATGCGTGCCGGCATTGAACAGCAAAGAAATGTCGGTGGTGCAGATGAAGTGGTTTTACAGAACAGCAGCCTATTCATGATGAATTACTATAAACTGTCGTTGGCCGATAAGAAAAATGTGATCTTTGATAGCAGCATGTGTGAGTCCCATTTCGGTGCGCTGTGTCTTTTGCGCTGGGAGGCATTGTTCAGCAAAAAGTGTCTGATAACTAAACGAAACATTTGGGTTCTGATTATACAATTGGCAATACCCATCATCTTCATGGTTCTCACAATTCTCAATTCACGCGGTGGACGCATTTACTACATGCTGCCTCCCATGTACATTTCCTTGCGTCAATATCCCCGCTCCTTTGTGGTGCTGGAGGATCAGTCGGGAGAGAAAACTGGCTCCCTTGCTGATACCTACACTGACTATGTGGTTAGCCAAGGAGCTACACTGTTGAATACCAGTGGCATGGGCTTTGAAAACTACATACTGAAAGCATCCGAGGAGCAGCGAGCCCGGGTGGATGCCAAATATTTGGCGGGAGTAACCATTGAAGAGGGAAATATAACCGTTTGGTTCAACAACAAACCATTCCATACCGCCCCCTTGGCGCTTAATTTGCTGCACAATGCGCTCGCACGTCAAGTCTTGGGTCCGGAGTCCGGCACTGGCGTCACTAATGATCCCCTTCCGTACAGTAATGACACATTGACAATGCGCTTGAACAAAGGACAGCGACTGGGCGCCGAAATAGCCATTAATTTATGCCTTTGCATGTGCTTTGTCACCGCGTTCTTCGTCATACCAATCATCAATGAGCGCACAACTCGAGCCAAATTATTGCAATACCTGACTGGCGTCGAGGTCTTCGTATATTGGATAACCCACCTCATTTGGGACTATGCTATCTTTTTCGCAACTGCCCTGCTTGCAATGATCACAATTGCTGCCTTCCGAGAGATCGGGTATTCCTCTTTTCTGGATTTGGGTCGTTATTTGGTCTTATTGCTGGTATTTGGCTGTGCTGCTCTGCCCCTTAGCTATGTGCTCTCGAATTGCTTCACCGATGGTGCCACAGGATTTACGCGAATTGGAATAATGTGCATCCTTACTGGGGCAGGTCTGTTTGCGCTTGTGGTCGCACTGTCATTTGAGAAATTTCAATTGAAATATTTGGCTGATATTGTGGTTTGGTACTTCCGTGTTTTTCCCCACTTCTGTTTGGCCAATGGGTTGCATCACATCCACATTGGTTTTAATATACGCCGAGGTTGCAGCATTCCGGCCATCAAAAAACTGCCACAGTCCGAAATTTGCCGCAACATACCAGTCTGTTGCAACATTCCCGGCTATTTCGCATGGCGTACCCCCGGAATACTTCCCGAACTCGTATACCTCATTGCGACCGCCATATGCCTATTCGCTTTGTTACTGTTCATAGACTCTAGAAAGTGCTCCCAACTCTATGAGCTTCTTATCAAATGCTATGATTGCCTTCATTGCAGGAAGTCCAACAGAGAGGAAGGTGGCGAATTTTTAAAACAGGAGGACGAAGATGTTCAAATGGAGCGCAGTAAGATAGCCCGCCTGGTATCTCAACAGCGAATCAGTCTGCCGCTCGTCGTTGATGGGATAAGTAAGAGATATGGTCGCCATATAGCTGTCAGGAATCTATCGTTTCGTGTCGAGCCCGCCGAGTGCTTCGGCCTTTTGGGCATAAACGGTGCTGGGAAAACCTCCACCTTCAAAATGCTCACTGGGGATGTTAAAATCAGCAAAGGAGTTGCCTATGTGGACGGCATTAACCTGCGCACCCATATGCATAAGGTTTACCATCGAATTGGCTACTGTCCACAATTCGATGCACTGTTGGAGGACCTGTCCGGTCGCGAGACTTTGCGTATCTTCTGCATGTTGCGTGGTGTCCAGCGCCGTCATATCAAAACAATGTCTGATGGCTTGGCCACAGCATTTGGATTCATTCAACATATGGACAAGCCGGTGCGCTGCTATAGCGGTGGAAATAAGCGGAAACTCAGCGCAGCACTAGCACTTATCGGAAATCCCTCGGTCCTATATCTTGATGAGCCCTCGAGCGGTATGGATCCGGCCGCGCGTAGACGGCTCTGGAATATGCTGGCCTATGTACGTGAGTTGGGAAAGTCGATAGTCCTTACCTCTCACAGCATGGATGAGTGCGAAGCCTTATGTACACGTATTGCCATTATGGTGGACGGCGAAATCAAGTGCATGGGCTCTACCCAATATTTAAGGAATAAGTTTTCAAAGGGCTTTATTCTAAAAATCAAAATGCTGTCTGAAGAGCAGGACGATAGCCAACAATTAACAGAAACCACAAGTCAAAAGGAAGCAAGTGAAGAAGAACATGAGAGCAAAGAATTAGAAACCATTGCAGAAGAACAACCCGCCTCAGTAGAGGAAAGAAGAAAAAGTTCCAGCTCCATACTCCAACAAGATCCCGACTCTACTGAGACAAATAATGATAGATCTGATTCTGTAGACGAAATAAATATTGCTAATGCCAATACAAATAATGATCGAATTAAGAAATTCATAAATCAAAACATTGCAGATGCTCTGTTGCAAGAGGAACATCAAAATGTGTTAACTTTTTTTATACCCACGCAGAGCATACGCTTATCAAAACTTTTTCAACTGATCGAAAACAACAATAAAGAACTTAATATTGAAGATTACATTATCACTCAATCGACACTGGAAGAAATCTTTCTGGAGTTTGCCACGCTTAAGAAAAAATGACAAAAAACAGGAAGCAAAGCTAATTTTGTTAAACAGAAAATATTTAACAGAAAACTATTAAATTGGAAAATTTGCGTATTGGCTTTTTGTTTTGAGAATGGCATTTTAAAAATATCGACTTTTGTGCTAATATCGAGTGCTCCATGGTGCAGTTGTGAAGAGACTTGAGGCAAAGCCACTCTGGAAAAGTATTGGAGAATGGCTTAAGGCGAGCAGACCTTACTGGACAACTCGCTAACAGCTTAGAACTGTGAAGGTTTTGGTCCATATGCTGGCCCGCACTTTGTATTATCAATAAATATCTTCAATCAATAAAATATAGTATATCGTTTTATTTTATTAATATTCCTAAGTATAATGAAATGCCACATCAACATCATATATTTGTGATGTACATGGCAAACAAAATTGTAAAAACCAATTCTATTCTACTTTATATAAATTCTACAAAATCTTCCACATACTATACACTGGGGAAACAAAATTATTGGAAATCAAAATTTTAAAATTTTTCAATAGCCGTAAAGCAGAGCTATTCTGCATTTTCAGACTTTTTTGGATTCGTTGGAAAAGTTTTCTAATAAATGGCTCCAATTATGTTTTCTAAAACAAAAACTAAATGCTGAAATTAAACATATTTGAACTAAATTAAAAATGTTTAACAATAGAAATTTGTAGCATTTTGAAAAAATATATTATCTGTAGAATCGGCTAATCTATACACTTCAGATTTACTCAATGATTTGTGCTCTTGTTCACGCTTTAGTCAAGAGTTTGATGGAGACGAAAAAAATATGCCAACAAAACCATTTCCATGTTATTCAAATGCAAAACAAATTCTTTAAAAGTTGATTTTTATCATTCCAACAAAACAAACTGCAAATGTTTCAAAAGATTCAACAGTTACGATATAAAAAATATACGTTTAAAATATATTTGTAAAATACTTGTACACATGTAAAAAAAAAAATGAAAACAAACAAATTATTTCAAAGTGAATTTCAATAATATCAATTAATTAAAATTAATTAATTTGTCTTATGTCAATATTTCTTGAATATATACAATATAAATGCCTCCCTTTTCAAAAAAGAAAAGAACCAAAGAATTTTCGTTTACAATCTTTGGTTTATTAAAAAAAAAAAATGAATCTACCATTTTAATAAAACTGCGAATGGTAATCCAAATTTGAAACCTTAATTGCTGACAGCCAACGCATTTAGAAAAAAGAGAATTGTACATCAATATGGATGCCATTCAAGTTGATCGAAAGTGAACTTTTCAAAAGCCGCCACTTGGCAATCGAAACATTCAAATATGTATGTAGTATCTACATATAGTTGTATAGTTAAAATATAGGTGCGCAGTACTTCAACTGAAATGGCAACTGCTCGTGTGTTTTTTGTAATTTATGATTTTTATGGTGAATGTCTAAAATGGCTGCAGTTGAGCATATTTCATTTCAAAGTGTTTTACAAAACTTTTGGCCGTGAGTGCGTTTTGTGTGTGTCTGTGTGTTTGTGTTTGTGGGACTATTTCGGCCATGATGTTGCGCCAGCCAAATGCACAAAAGCATAAAAGAAGGGGCTTCAGCACACGTCTCGACACTCAAACATACTAACAAACAAATTGCATTTATCCATGTGTGTGTGTGCTATGTACTTGATATGGGTGGAAGGGGACGGTGTGGGCCTTGGGCGGTGGAGGTGTGCCATGCATGGCGAGATTTCATGATTTTATCAATCAAAATGGGAAAATATTGAATTGATTGATTTACGTGTGTGCCGAACAGGGTTTCGCTTTTTTATTTTATTCTTTTTAAACATTTTTTTCTGATAGTATGCCAGTAATGCCAAAACCCGCTCACAGGCAAAATACATACAAACATATTTACAGAGAAACCCAAATATGTATTGAAATATTGGCGGCATATACTCGTATATATTCGTATTCCCATTCGCATTTCCCACCCATCGATGTCATTAAAAATTAAATGTATAATAAATGACGCATGCGGAATTCATTTTGGTTGGCTCTGAGACCAATGGATATCGCCGATTCAATAATATGCTTGACGTTAATTCTTGTTGATACTTTGCTTCTGTTTTTCAATACGTGGCGAATATGTATATTGGCATTAATATGCATATATGTATATATGCCTCGAAGTATGTGCGAAGCCGCACAACTCGCCACCAATCGCCTCGAGTGTGAAGAGAAAACCCACACAGAATCGAGTCTCACTCCGGCAGCTTATTCTCAATTGTCCTGCAGCGTCATTTACTATGTTTACCAAATAATCAAGCATTCGTATTATTCTTAACTATACTGCAGCTGTACAGGCACATTTTTGTTGTAGATTATTACGCTTTTCATTCATACATATACCCACGCACGCCCACACACAAAGGCTCGGGCAATGCGCGCAATTTTTAACAATAATGTCAATAGAGCTCCAAAATCGAACAGAACGGCAGCGAGACGGCAACGAAGTGTGCCACAAAGGAAAATCGCAGCGTCGCGACTTTCGCATTTTATTGCACATGTTTCACATTTTCCAGCGCATCAGCCTTCGCCTTCGCCGCCGACTCCGACTCTGATTCTTAAAGCCGAAAATTTGCTGGGCTTTGAAAATGGCGTTAAAAGTTGAAAGCGGAAAACTGACAGCGGCATGTGAAATTGTTCCATTCCGCCATATATTCCCATCGCTGAATGTTCGCATGTGTGTTTGAGTGTGTGTGTGTGTGTGCGTGTGATGCTATAAATTTGATTCATACACAGATTCAATAAAGGAGACGATAAGCATCTATGCAATATACTATATGTATGTATATACACAGCACAATTTTCTATTCTATTCACATAGACGCGGCGGCTGCTAGACAGCTTTATGTATTTCTCTTATTTCGAAACATAATAAATTCATAAGATTTTACTTGTGACTTGCAAACAAATCGAAGCTGGAGAAATGGATATCTATTCCAAAGAGAATACACTCAAAAATGACAACTTTTAAAGCAAACATTTTAATTTCGAATATTAAAGAGATATAAAACCCGACTTTATTGTATTGTGAATTCTTAATAAATAGTTTTCTTTGATTTATTCTGCATACAAGTTTCTTTGGGATAGTATGTCAGGCTAATCAGTGACTATTCAAATCGAACGTTCTTAACTTTTCTATGAATTTGAAATTTTAATTCTTAACTTTTCAAAAAGGACTAACTATTTATACTGAGTCTTTCTTAATCAATTCATTTGGCTGTTATTTTATATGTTGATCTCAGCTTTTAACTTCTCCAATCATTTCCAATCTGGTCGACTAAGATAATTCAATGGCCACTAAAATTCAACACAAATATAGTATAAACTAACTTTGACACCAAAAATCATAGCGAGGTGCTAGACATTACATTAACGCCTGATTCCTTGCCGGCAGGATACTTTGCCTGATTAAGAAAAATGTATAAGGCGACTATATGGTGATTGAAAAAATTGAACACCTTTTAGAAACGAAGCGTAATCCAATTAGCAAAACAAACAAAGTTTAGATTTTTAATTTTCTAATTTGCATTAAATTGTAATTGTTTTGCCGACGTTGGTTCGATAAAAGCCTTAATTGCATTTTCAAAAAAAAATAAATAAAAAAGGGGACAAACTCTCGAGATTCTACCTCTACTGTCCGACAAAAAAAAACAGCTCTTATGCTACTATGCATACAACTCTCTAACAACACATACGAGTATACACACACACACACGCACACTCACACACACACTTAACGACCCCTTAAAGGTACACAACGGGTAAGCATCGGCATCAGATTGAATTTGAATGAGGCGTGGCTGGTGGAGTGAGCTGAGCAGACCTGATGGCCTTGTATTCATGCATCGATGTGTGAACGGCTGCAGTGAAAGTCAACTGCAAACCCCGATAGCCCCCACCTCCCCCCTCTTCCCCATCATGTCACCCAGCAAAGCCAAACAACAGGGAAATGTGCATTGCTTTGCTGTTTCGGCAATTATCTTTTGAGCTGGCATTAAGGTTTTTGGCATCACATTAAATATAATTGGCAAATGTTAGCGGCAAGTTGTTGGCCATTTTATTACCGTTTGTGTTAAAGTTTAAAATTGGTTTTCTGTGTGGCTCCCGTCTTAATTTTATGGCCCGCATATGTTGGCAATTGGAACGCTGCCGAAACTAGTAAGGCGGGTGCTTTGAAATGGATGCGTATACGCATCGTTGAACGGGCACCAAAAATACATACACGTTCATATCTGCACATCGACATATATCAGTCATGCACGAGCTATAACATATGTGTGGGGACGTATTAAAAAATTTCTTGAAGGATGCATAGATTAATGTGTCGAGGCTGAGGCTTAAAATACTAATTAGAGCCACAGACTTGAACTGAAACTTTCGTAAATTATAGCTTCCCATGAGTTTCCTTTTAAGATTTATTAATTTGTCAGTTATTTTACTCCATATGTTGTAATAGTATAAACTAAATCAGGATATATAGTACTTTTGTGCTAAGAACAGATACAAATTTGTAGGAATATGTGTAGTTGTTTGGTGCTATGAATAATTCTAACAAGTGCTTAGTGCAAAAAACAAAGGAAATAAATTTGGAAACGCTATATTATTTATGTTAGGGTTAAGATGGAGCTGATTGATTCTCTTTAGTTATTGACTCATTGTTCCTAACGCGTAACCGCTTCATACCTACTGTAACTGTATAAAAGCACCTCCAACCAATCACCATTTGGTTATTGACTCTAGGATCTCATAAAAGCACATAAAACTTCTTTGCAAGTGCACATATTTTGAACAAATTTCCTTTTATGCCGTTTAACTTGTAGTCACAAAAATGCAGAAAGCTAGTTTTCTCTTCGAAGCGCTGATACTCTTAAGCTTTATTAATTCGTACTGGCTGCTGGAGAAAGAGTGCCTGTCTGGATCGAATAGCTGTCTTGAGTAATTATGCTCGATTATGT